CAAGTTATACATTAATATCCTTACTTGTTATGCTCTGACAAATGAAATGTCACTTCAAATGTCCAGTTGCGTGGCTTAAAAGATGTATTTTCTCTTTTGAGACACATTAGCAAGTCATTCTAGTTAAGGGTGATATTTAGGAAATTAATAGAAAAAGTGGGTTTTGAGTTTTTGAGCTTAATATTTTTATTAAAATAAATAATTTCACATATAACAAAGGTTCAGTGGATTTCCGTGGGCTAGGAGCTTCACAGTATCAGAGACTATTTTTCATTTATCTTTGTAAATTTAGTGCCTAACACATAAGTAATTACTAAATGTTTACTGTTAAAAATTAAGCTTTGTTTTTAAGGCATTAAGCTTTGTCTTAGGTTAGTGAGATTTAAGTTAAAAAAAAAAGGCAATATTGCAATTATTTAAATAATAATCTGAATATATTTATGGATAAAGAAATGTTGACTGTCATGATCATACATAACTAACTTTCAAGTACTTCACTAAAAAATTTATTTTCTCCCCACCGAACTGTTCACCAAGCAAGTTAAAGAAAGGGTTCTAGACATCTAGAAACTTGCATTTTGGAGAAGCAACTCTTAACATGAAACGTATTCATAAAACAAATAAATAATGAACCCCAGCTAGGTGCAAAGCAGGAAGTGATTTTAAAACTCATAAGCCATACTTCCTTCTCAAAGAGGTTTGTAATTTCATACAAGGAATAAACCAATCTGAAAATTAAAATGAAAGTTGATTATTGGTACAGCATGAAATAGAAATTTAGAAAGACAAAGCCTGATTATGATTGGTTGATAGTTCATGGAGGTAGTGCCATGGGAGTTGGGCTTGGGGAGGTGCTTTACTGCAGGCATGGATAGAAAAACAGGTGTTTCACATGGAGAAAGATGATAGAAGTGGTGCAGTGGTTTGACCATTTCCAAGACAAAAAGTAGTGCATGTTGATCATTGAATGAAAGTAAGACATAACTTGGAGAGTTTTTGAGAAGCAGTCACTCATGGCCTGGGCTAGGGTGGTTTCTGTGGAAATGCAAAGGAAAGTTAGCTAACAAGTAAAGTTAGTATTTACATCACAAAATAGATTGCAGTAATAACTTACCACCTAATCTGATGCACCTACACATTGAAAAGTAAACACTTGGTAAAATAGCAAATGGATGTGTGTGTGTTTTCACTTATTGATGACTGTGATTTCACATTATTATAACCCTTGATTTCTAGACAAAAACCTCACAACTAATAATTGACTGTCAAGAGTCAGTTTTCAAGTCTATTTGTTTCTTAATGATCCTCTTATATATTTCTGGAAGGGGGAAGAGAAGACGTAAAACTGTTCTTAAGGCAACAGATTTTTGGAAACTTTCTTTCATGTAGCTTTGAGGATGTCTTACTTCCAGAGACTACTGCTTTTTATCAAGGAGCACATTGAAAGGTTCTATGAGAAAAATGTGCCTAAATATGAAAGTCATCTCCAGTCATTTGAGTTTTATACGTGCATACAGTTATTTACCCACCACTTCATTGATACTATCAATATAAGTATATAGGAAATGAGCCTGTATTTTCATAAGCCATGTATTGTATGTACATACACAATATGCTGCACATTACTTCATTTGATTTCATAACTTGCTTTTCATTGCTTACCCAAAGCAGATCATCTTTTTATTTGGTTATGCTATTTTCCTTGTGTAACTAATGTAGTATATTATCTTTGCCAACTCAGAATCATATGAATATAAATCAACAACCCATGAAGAACTTTTATTATCCAGAGAGCATAATATGCTTAAGGTTTACCTCAACCTACATTCACCACATAAGAAAATAATAGCAAAACTAATACCTTATTTTTTTCTACATTTGGATGATCCAACTGGCCTTTATTTTCACTAGAAGTAAAGAAGATCAAATCATCATGAAAGGGAACACTCATGTTTTGAAAATATCCCATTGTGAGATATGTATGGAACCATAACATTTGTTGTTAAATCTTACCATTGACAACAACCCTAAAACAAAGATGTATTTTTTTTTTCAAACACTTGGCACATAAACATGGCAAAAGAAACTTACTTGGTTAGATAATTGTTTACATGATTCACTTACAAATTCAGATTGTTTTAGGGCAGAAACAGTAGGTCTGGAACATTAAAAAAAATACCACCATAGTGTTGTTTTTCCACCTGAGAAAAAGAAACAAATTGTTAGTATGTCTTCTTCTTACAGGGAATTTAGTTATATCAAGCCATCCTGTTAGTTTTCATTTTTTAAAAGTAGTTTTCCCGATAAATTATATTGACAAATAATCAAAATTTTCATTTGAAACCTTTGGTTATACAAAACTATATAATCAAGTTCTTCTTAAGTACTGTGACCCAGTATTAAGTATCCCAAGGTTAAGTATCAGCACTAATGCTCACATAACATTGATTTTTGATGATGAGTAAAATTGAGTAGAATTGACTACAGTGAAGAATACTGAAATTTAATTTGTATGATACCTATGTTTGAGAGATTTAAATCACATTCCAGCTAATAATATGAAATAGTTCACACAGATGCTAATATCTGCTTTTAAAGATAAGTACTTTGTGTTTAAACTTCAGAAATCATTAAAAATTTAATATGACACTTTTTTTTTTAAAGATTTTATTTATTTATTTGACAGAGAGAGAGAGTTAGCGAGAGCAGGAACACAAGCAGGGGGAGCGGGAGAGGGAGAAGCAGGCTTCCCGCCGAGCAGGGAGCCTGATGTGGGGCTCGATCCCAGGACTCTGGGATCATGACCTAAGCCGAAGGCAGACGCCTAACGACTGAGCCACCCAGGCGCCGCTAATATGACACTTTTAAAATTATTTCAGCAGTGTCTGCCAACATACTCAGACCTGTAAATTTCAAGATTATAGTCCTTGTACAAATAAACTACTTATTCTTAGAAAACAGAGTATAGGCTATTTTCATGCTGCCATTGAGTTGAAGAAATGTCTTCTTCTAAAACAGGTTAACAAAGTTACTTACTAAAAGAAGTTATAAGGAAAAAAAAAAAGAAGAGAAGAAGAGGCTGAAAAAAAAGTTGTAGGCATGGAAAAATTTTTTTTGGTATCCTTTTCCCACCCAGTGCCAAAACTACCTTAATGTGACCATCAAAGCCTGCGACTTATTTATGCACGCACATACTCTGACTTAAATGTTCTAAGTGCTAGACACACACACATATACAATTTAAATGATAAATTCAAGAGGACAGAAGGTAAAGCATAATGTTAATAAAAATTACTACTAAATTTCTTTGCTGTTTCAGACCCAGAAAATTTTCAATTATATATAATACTTTAAAATCTGGGTAGTACATAAGAGTCTAGATATAAACTTTCTAAATAGTCAATTTCCAAAATCATTAAATGATATGTGATTAGATGCTTCTTATTAGCATAATGAAACATAGTTTAGGCAGCACATACTACATACATAAATGAATGGAATGAGAGGATGTTGGCAGCAATGGAAAATAATGATGGATTTTACAAGATTAAACCAACTGACATTTTATGAAAATTTCCATTTCCTGCCTTGGATTTCATCCAAACTGACAAAAACAAACACACATTTAGATTTCTCAGATTTCTCTTGGGATGTTCTCTTGGGTAGAATATCTGGAAAGAATTTCTGACAAATCAATCTGTCAGGTGCCACACTTTAATATTTATGTGGGAATTCGCCAGGATGGACAAGAATGTATGCTAGTCTTTTCTCCTTACATAAAATAAAAATTGTGGGTAGAATTGTGCTTACAAAACACACTGCTCCATTGCACAAAGTTGTAATATTTTAGCAGAAGCTTAAAGATTAATTGGAAAAGGTAAAATTATACATTGCCAAATTTTGACTGGTTCTGGCAATATCTGCACTATCATTAGAACATGTTTTACTCAATCATCTTTGTTGTGTATTCAAGTCCTAGTCTTAAGGGCCCAACAATTGTCTGGATGTAATAGAAACACTATGATAGCCTGCCCCTCGGGAATACCCTTTCTCCTACCCACCCTCCCCTGAGCCAGAATCAACAACTATCCCATAAATTCGGCTTTTGTTTTATTAAAATTATTTTACAGCAACAGTGCCAGAAGCATGGAACTCTTGCAGAATTCCAAGCATATGAATTTTTCAGAAATGTATTACATGGAGTCTGTCTTTTGTTCAACTTATTTTTTCTCTTCCCCATTGTCACCGAGTTAGGCCCAGATATTTTTGCCTTTCCCAGGAGGTACAACATTAAAGGATTAAATAACAGAAACCTGGAGCCACATCTTTTTAAAACATAACTCTTAAAGGAGAAATCATTGTCTTACATGTGGTTAGAAAAGGGATGAGCAACTGTCTAGGGACAGGGCAGGAGACAATTAGAATTAAGTCAGCCACCACGTATCTATGAGCTTTTAAAGGACACTAGGGACAACCCCATATTTGGATAAATATTCCATTAAGTGAATGTTTGTTTACCTTAGGAAAACCAGGTTACAGGATTATTCATTCATTCCTCAAGAGTAAGTGCTGAAAATCTCTGGGGTCAGGATGGGGGGTGGGGGGCGGCGGCAGGGTGATTACTACTCAGTTACGGCTGTTATGCAGTCAGGATTCTCTCTGTGAAAAACAACAGTTAACACTGTGGTTGTATTTTTTTTCTGATGTATTGCTTGGAAACATTATCAGAAAAGCTTACACTATTTGTTAATTAAGCTGACTTAAAACCCGATGTGTAATTCTATTGACTGTTATTATTGTTTCTTGAAACTTTGCTCTTGTTTATAGATTTTTTGACTTGAGTTTAGAAATATTCCAAGTAGATCAGCCTCGCAAATCTAGACTTGTAAATTTAATCAGTAACTTCTAGGTATATGCAGGAACATATTGCATGAGACAATAATGTAATTTGTGAGAAATGTCTACACACAAGCTTTCATATACCTTTATTCTGTCTTTAGAATTTGGAATGATGGGAGATCATACAATTAAAAGTCAGCGACCTCGATCTGTTCATGAAAAAAGGGTCCCTCAGGAACAAGCTGATGCTGCTAAATTTATGGCACAAACTGGTAATACGTTAGTTACATTTTTCTATTTATTGTTGTTAATTTAATGAAACCACTGCATGTTTTCATAATCTTTTGCTGCACATTTGTCAGTTTTTGGAGCTAATATTTTTTTGAGCCATTTCTTTTTCGTCACCAGTTAAAGTCCATAAATGAAGTAGCTTTGAGTTGAAAAGCGCACCAAAAAAATGTGTAAGATTTATTTTGCTTTCAGTATGGGACATTTAGGATTTACATATTATTATTTACTCATGTCAATTAACTTCTTAAAATGTATCCTTAAACTTCTAAAGAAAGTCAACAGTTATTTTGTCAATAATTATTACAGGATTTTTTCAGAACTAGAATTTTAAATAGGACTTTAAATGATGAAATTTAACTGAGCAATAAGATGTCGAGTATTTTTTTCAAATGTCATACATCATAGAAATATTAAATGTTAAAATGTATGGAAATTAGAAACATTTTCAGAATTTTTTTTTATTTGGAAGAGAGTTTTGCTATATAAGCTAAATAATAAAAAATTGACAGTCTTTATTAGTAAGCTACAATACATCCAAACAATTAAATATCAACAAAAATCACTTTCTGGTTTGTAAAATTTTTAATCCTAAACTAATTAGATTACTTTCAAATACCTCCCTCGGGGGGGGGAGAAAAATATATACATATATATATATGCATATATATATATATGAAACACAATTAAATGCATTCATATGTTGGGTCATCATAATAAATGGCTATAATTCCATCTGTTTACATTGCATGTAGTACATTCTTAGATGAAAATGTATTTAAACTGTGTTATGAACATTTTCAGCTGTCACTTTTATTTCAGGAAATTGCAAACTAACAGTTTTATCTATGTCTTTATAAAGTTTTATACATTCCAATCTGGATGATCTGTTTTACCATTAATACTGAAGTTTCAAGTACTTGATCAGCTTGTTGACATGACATTGACTAATTTTGATGAAATTCTCTTGAAGAATGAATGTTTCCTTTAGTTTATATTTTCTTAGGATATTTATTCTGAACATTAAATTTGGATCTACAACTTAAAAATGCAAATATTCTTAATGGATTGTGCTCTTGGTAATGGGTGAGTAGTAGAGTTTAACACATTAATTGTAAGTAGGTCAAAGAATTCTTCAGAACAGGAAGAATGTTTACAATAAATTCTACATTAAGGACATATTTTTAGCTTTTTAAAATATATATGTTGCAGCCAGACCCAGAAATGAAGAAAACTTGCTTATCTGGATTGCTTTTGGTGCAGCTTCTCATTTAACAAAAGGTGACATATTTTTACTCTTTGCTCGAACGGGTCCAAAAGTGCATTGCCAAGGTCAGGTAAATTTTCAAATTATTGAATGTATGTTTCTCCCTTACACGGAGCAAAAAGTCTCAAGCACTGACCAGAGATTGCAGAATATTTGACTCTAGCTAGAGGCACAGGGCATGGGCTGATAACTCAGCCTCCTTCCAGTGCCATCTCACAGGGGCACTTCTGCGAGATCAGAAATGTTCTTCCTTTTTGCACAAGAGGTGGCAGTCATTGGCTTGCTGAAATTTCTTAAAAGTGGGGTCACTTGGGAGTGAAATGGTGAGCCATAGTTTTAAATTCCCAATTATGTGGTAAAATTAGTTGATGCATGAATATTATGCAATTTGGCCAGGAGATTTTATATAAATTCGGTTTTTGTATTTGCCTGTGACATAAACCAAGAGAATTCAGTTCTCAGCCAAAACCTTTTTTGCAAATTCAAATCACAAGGAACATGATGTTTTCTTAGTGAGAAGTTACTAATTTCTGTTTTCATTTACTGGTTCTTTTTCAAGCATTGTTTTGTACCAAAAATATAATAACACATGATTTGGTAAAGTAGGTGAAACACTTATTAAAGAGATCCATGAGGAGCATTAAAACCATTTCTTTATATTGTTAACAATAATTCAGAAAAGGCAATGAAAAATGAAAGTTCTGAAAATATCAACTGGATGCTTGAATTGATGCAAATAAATATTTATTATTTAAAGCAAAAATAGTTTAGGTAAATATAAAAACACATATAATACTTATTTTAAATGCAAATTACTACAATACTGATAAAAGACTGGGAAACTGCATTATTTTAAGTAGTTTTTAAAATATGTAATTTGACACCAGGCAGTTATAAAGTTAAAAAGAGAGGCTGGTTTTTTTTCCCTTCAGTATTTTCTGAGAGTATACTTTCTTTAGGTGTTAAGGTAGTTAGTCTCAATAAGTGCAACTAAGTAATAAAATCTTAGAAAAGCTAAGGTTTACTTATTAAACTTTTCTATTGGTCTTTCAAATCAGGAAATTGGTGTTACATATAAACAATGAGAAACATTTGCTAACGTTAATTTGAGAATGAAGAAAAGCACAATAGAGGTAAAATTGAATGATGGAAGACATTATAATATGTGTTTTATATTAGTCATGAGGGAAAACAAAGCAAAACCTATAAGCCTTTTTTTTTTTAAGATTTTTTTTTATTTATTTATTTGAGACAGAGAGAATGAGAGAGAGA